TCAAAGTCACATGATGACATAGTCTTCTCAACTTGCAAATATTTCCAAAGAAAAAAAAAGGGTCCACTCATTTCATCTAACACTCGAGTATTATCAACATTTCAACACTTCCAAACTGAAGAAATACAGTGGAACCCCGGTTAACAAACTTAATTCGTTCCGCGACTCCGTTCGTTAACTGAATTGTTCGTTAACCGAAGCAATTTTTCCCATAGAAATTAATGCAAATGCAATTAATCCGTTCTAGTCTCCGAAATTTTTGTGATTTAATTTGTAATATACAGTAATTTTCTTTGATGAAAATGTAGGAAAACATAGTATCTATCATTACAACAACAAACATGTAAACTTTGTTTAATAAAATAGCACTGTACATACCTTCGTTTGTTGTAGTTGGTGGCAGAAAAGTGGAGATATACGAACTTAATGCTTAGAAGGGGAATCCCCTCCAAAAAAAAATAACGGGTAGCACTTCATCGGAAGATTTTTCGAGTCGAAGTCTCTTTCGGTAAAAAAAAAACCACCAATGGCTAAGTGGTCTTCGTACCTTGAACACAGGGAGTTCGTTCATGGGTTCACACCTCGTTCAGATGGGCTGACCACATGGAGTTTTCCAGGTTTTCTCCACATCTGTAACGCATAAATAGGGGCCAGTTTTCCTTAAAAAACCTCCCAGAAGGCATTCCCCCTAGGCAGATCGCCAAGTGTTGCGTTGCCATAACTTAACAAACAAACAAACTCTTTCCGTAAGGAACAAGAAATTGATCTAAAGTTGATTGTCTTATTCTTTTAATCAAAATTTTTCTCAAATGCGATAGCGCGTTGTTGTTTTCTATTGCCACTATGACTTTTTTCTTTCTTGGATGCCATATTGATTAAATATATAAATCACAAAACTGAAAAAAGAAGTATAGTACAAACACTCAGAAAAGCAATGCTTAACTTGCGCGTGCCTAACACCAACTAAAATTTGACACAAAATACCGTTACGTTCGTTATCTGAGACAAAATTTTTGCAAAATAAAAGTTCGTTAACCGATTTGGTCGTTAACCAGGACGTTCGTTAACCGGGGTTCCACTGTATATGTATATAATAAATACCATACCTTTATCTTTGGCTAATGGTTTAAATAATTAAAACATTTTTGACCTCTTAATGGTTATCTTCAATGTTTTCTAGATGAAACATCTTTTTACACAGAAAGAACATCAGCTATGGAATAAATGTTATTTTGGATTAAAAAAAATACCATGAACCATTCTTAAAACAAAATTCTTAAAAATTTAAAATATGGAACATTCCATAAATGGAAATAGAAAAACAAAAGCATTTGAAAGGCTAGATCTCATAATTAAATATCTATTCTGTAGAATTTAAACATGCATAGGTATCAATAGAAAGCCATTTTAGTAAACAATGAGATGGTTGAAATAAACAGAAATAGAAAAGGAAATACAAACAGTTCAAAGATTTAACACATCATCTTCGTATCCAGCAAAATAATTTCACTCAAAATTTTGCAAACTTTTTTGACCTAATTTATAGGTCTTCGTCAAGTCATGACTCATAAGAACAGATTTGGATGTGGAATGTTCAAAATAGAACACTTTTAAACAACATTCAATATGATGATAGTTTTAATTAATTCAAATATATGATAGAACACTTTAAAAGGCATTCATTATAAATAAAAATACTAACAAATTTAAATATTCAAATCATATTCCACTCCGCATAAACACTATCCTAAACTGTATGTATGTAATATAAGAACACTTCAAAACCATAATTCAGTTAAAAGAACAAAAAACAAATATTTTCAACCTATGTAAAGGCCATTCTCAGGTTCTACTGGTAGAACGAGGGACACCAGGGAATACCAGGACTCAATTACTAAAAACAGGAGCTACAGTCTTGGCCTTCTATAAATCAAATGAAGACATAGACATTCATTTTGATAGAGTTCACTTTCTATGTTGAAATGCATTACCATTGCATGTAAAATATGTTGAGATTATTGAGATATACAATGCTATCTCTAGAGCAGCGTTTCTCAAAGTGGACGATAACGCCCCCTTGTGGGCGCTGGAGGCTTTCAGGGGGGCAGTAGAAGGCTCAAAGAGAATTGGGGGGCGTTAAGGAAATATAGAGGGGCGACGGCAGACAAATTCTATATATAAAAATTCGACGGAATATATATAAAATGTTGACATTTTATATATTTTTTATTTTTTATTGAAGGTCACAACTTGAATATTTCTAACACATTGACTTTTATTTTAGCTCAGCGTTTCTCAAAGTAAGCAATAACGCCCCCTTCTGGCGCGATGAATAGATCTATGATAGAGGCAGGGTATTGAACGGTGACCAAAGGCAAAATTGGGGCTGATAAGAGGAAACATTGCATTTAATGGTTTCCAGATGATGAGAACAATGTACAGTAAGGGCACAAAGTGTGAGATTCATAGAAAAGTTTTCCTAAGAATATTTCCAATCCTTTTCTCACACAAGAGAGAATGGGTTAGGGGCGTTGGGTATAACTTTATGGAACAAAGGGGGCGGTGGATCCAAAAAGTTTGAGAATCACTGCTCTAGAGGAACAGCTATCAATAGCAGGAACACAACTCCTATATGGCATGCCTGGAAGGTATTTGAATGCATTTATAAACTGTGTCGAATTTATAAGCATTTTGGTGTTAGTATATTTATTGTTTTTTATGATCTTTTTGTTATCTATAGTTAGTTAATTTTTTTTTTGTATATATTATTTTTCTTCTGTTTTTGTTTTAATTTACAATATATTACTATGCTCCTATGCATGCAAACTTCTTATGCAACGGACATTTTTAAATAGATTTTGTTTGATTTTCCATTCTACCAGTAGAACTTGAGAATGGCCTTTACAAAGATTGAAAACATTTGTTTTTTGTTTTCTTTTAACTGGATTATGGTTTTGAAGTGTTCTCATATTCCACTGTTATATTCAAACAACATATATAAATATATATATATATACAGTAAAACCTGTCTATGGTTGCACATTCCTAACTGGTTTGTTTGTATCCAGTTATGACAGTCTAACATGTCTAGTCTGTCCACACTAGAAACAAATCAGAATGCAATTAGGAGTATGTCAAATATCAGTGTCTCATTCCAGTATTGGTGTAATTAGTTATTGTCAGGGGCTCTATAAGTCTATTTCCATTTGAAGAGATATTTCTGGTCTTTTCATGGCTGTAATGATCACCTTGGGTCTAAAAAAAGGAAGAATGACACAAGATACATCAGCACCAATATAGAAGAAAGATGGACTCATCTCTGCTTGTCAAGCATTCCCATAAATTCTTTCTGGATTATTTTTTGTGTAAGTGTTACTACATTGCCATTTTTCCATATCTAGACTCAAAACTGATATATTTGGGAAATGATGGAATATTCAGGGTCATTTAACCCTGTGTTATCTGCTATCCTCAATTTGATGACAAATACTGTAGTAATAAAAGCAACCATTGTAGTAATGTCTACGTGATAAGAACATTAAATAAGTCCTCCTCTACTCCTTTCATCAAATGATTAAGCATGTTTGAATTACTTGGTAGCATAGGGCAAACACATCTTGAACCTAAGACTTTGGGGTCAACAATCTAATGAGGATACTAAGTCATACATTCAAGATGTATTTGTCCTATGTCATCAAGTAATTAGATTGTTGAGTCCAGTCTTTTACATATTTTGTGTTGTGTATATTTTCTCACACAGTTCCGAAGGCCTCACAAAAGGAATCTCAAAAAGTTGTCCAGTTATTGATTTGGACCTCATTGTTATTAAATCATTGACAAGAAATATCAAGTAGAAAAAATAAATGGTGTCCACCTTCATCTCAATGATAAATTTTGTTGTATAGCAATGGGCTTGTACTTATTCAGCCATTGATGAGTGTCTTCAAAGGTTCTCTGTATGATTATGGTACTTACACTATAGGACTAACAGCTAGTAATTGCAAACTGTTGTCTGAATCAAATACGTGCTGTATTTTGATAGAAATGGTAGCCATTCTATTCTCTCCTGGATTAAATCAGTTTGAATGCTGAAATGCTGAAATAGTTCAAATTTTGTGCTTAATCCTCACCATCAGTGACTAGTCCATACTTCTTTGGATACTGCACTTGTATTAAATAATCTCACCATGTAGAAACCTTAAAATGCAATAATGTTTTTAATTTTCAAATGTTATTGACTTTCTTTAGGATAAAATGGTGATTGAACAACAGTTTTCATTTGAAATGAAAACTGTTGTTCAATCATCAGGAATGGAACCTAAATGTATTTCTGATGAATCTAATTTAAATATCACATATATTAGTCAGAAATATGTTTGTTATATTCATTTTGAACAAAAACTGTCATCAATTACCATTTTATCTTGAAGGAGATTGATAAAAAAGATCAAAAATGCTCAAAAATTAAAAATATTACTGCATTTTAAGATTTCTGTTGTGGTGTGACTAGTCATATTAATTCCACAACTGTCCTGTCTGTGGGAGAGGTATCCTTCTGGTAGAAGGATACCTCTCTCACAAACCTAACACTGTCGTCAAAATGTCACAAAGAAAAAAGAATGAAGACAATTGTTTCTTTATGCACAATTTATTTTAGTGAAGATAACTCAAAAATTAAACAAAAAGAGGTTACAACTTTTTGGAATAAATACAGAAACACTAAAAGAAACATTCAAACAAAAGTCTCAGTCCAGAAATCAAATGCTAGCATGAGCTTTTCTCAAACAGCATGCAGAATTTTAGAATGCACAATTTTGTGGTAGCAATATTTCCTTTTTATTTATTTAACTATATTTCAAGATTTTATTAAGAAAAAATTAAAAACTCTCTATGTAAAATTTTAAATAATGTAGATTTTATATAAAAATAAAATATTGATGATGATATATTCATATAGACTTCAATACTATATTTTTGAATTTTTGTAAAATTGTAAAAATATAAATATTATTAAATATTTTTATAGGTTGGGGAGATGCAAGACCTATTCCAGTATTTCCATGGCATTCTCTTGTGCCATTTCTTACTACACATCCATCACCACCTAATAGTGCACCTCCAACAATCAGTTCTATTCCAGAGCAAATACCTCCACCACAGCCAGAAGCTATGGGGGAAGAATTAGGTATGTATTTTGAAGAAGATTTTTGAAATTTTAAATAATTTTAAAATGTATTAAAATTAATTTATAATGTAATTTACATTTTTAATTTTTAGTCATTTTGTAATTAAAAAAAGATTTCTTTCAAGTTTCCCAATCCTTTGTTGTAGATAAAACATTTCTAGCTCTATATGACTTTGTTTTAATGTTATTTCTGCAATAGAGTTACTGCTTTTTTGTAAGTGATTAAGAAATAATTACTTGATTAGGAAATAATAATTGTCACTTCAATATTTGTTATAAAATAAAAATTTAAAGGGTTTTTTAAAAATTAATGGGGTTAGTGTTATTTCACTTAAAAGTTTTTCATTAAAAAGATTAAGATTAAACCTTTTTCCTGAGAATTATTCTTTTTCTTTACTGACTTTTGGAAGTGAGTCAATAAATGAGGTAAAGTATTTATTAGAAAAAAATCTACATATATTCATTTTGCCTGGGTAACAAAATTCAGGTTTCTTCAATGGAAATGGTATTAGTATTGACATTATTACATTCATCTCAGTCTTAATCAAGATTAAGATGAGTATAATATTAATGAAGCTTTAAGAATAAAATGTAGATAGAGATAAGGTTTCAGCATTTCTGGAGATGGTTTATTATTATTCTTTGCATTAATAAAATAAAGAAGAATAAATTACAAGATTTAGTTATAATATTCAAATATGAATCATAATATTCCAGTATGCTTATGGTAGCAATATTTCCTTTTTATTTATTTAACTATATTTCAAGATTTTATTAAGTAAAAATTAAAAACTCTATGTGAAATTTTAAATAATGTAGATTTTATATAAAAATAAAATATTGATGATATCATATTATAATTCATACAGTCTTCAATACTATATTTTTGAATTTTTAAGGAGTTTATACAGTAGAACTCAATTAAGAAATTTTTAAGAGATCAATTTAAAAAACTTTGTAAGCAGAGATGAAAATAATATGGACCTAGCTGTTCTTTCAATAATCTATATTTATTTAACAATTTATGTTACATTATAGTAAATTAGGCTTTATACACTATTTATTTAAATATTTGTCTAATGTAGCCTGCTTCAACCATTTTTTTAATGTAAAAAAAAAATACATTTTATGATTCTCACAAAAAATCACAGATATATAAATATCATACTAAAATTCATCAAAGACTTAAAATATTATCCAAGTATTGATAGTGTTTTTCAGAACTTGCTATTAGTTGCAAGCATTATTGCCAAATAACAGTGTCAGAAAACGAAAAAAATCTGTGAATTTACACACAATTTTGTGAATTTTCATAATTAATTTTTGTCCATATGCAACTAAATGTGTAAAGTTTTTGATATATGCAGTTGAAAAACTTATTAAGTGAGTCCATTTTCTAGTTTCAGATAACGATTTTCATCTACTTAAGTTAAAAATTTTCTTAAACAGGAACATTTTACTTGAGACAAATTTACACATTTTCTGTGAAGAAAATGTTGGGACTTTGGAATTAAACTTCTTACATAGAAACTTCTAATAAGGGAACTTCTTAACAGAGTTCTACTGTTCTAGAAATATTATCATTATCCACCTGATGTAAAGTATAATGCTGCTTCATCTCTTAGTCAATAAGTGTTCCTATCCAATGTATTTTCCTAGAAAAAACACTTGCTAGAAAAATTGCTGCCCTTCTACCGAGCTCCAGTCTTGTCATATCTTTATCACTTGAAGCAAAGTCCCTTATAGTTAACCTTTCAGCAGTGGGATAGTCAGGTATGGTGCTACCCCATAGTAGTGGAGAATAAATAAGGGAAATTTTTAAGGTATTTTTCCACGCATTTTTTTCTCATTACTGTTTCAGAAAAAGATTTCGTAAACAGTTATATCTAGTAAAGAAAAGTCTTTTTTTTTTATTGTTACATAATTTATTTTTATGTGAATTTTTTTTTCATGGTAGTTTTTGGCTAGTTTTTGGCGATACCTCCAAAAGAACAGATATATCCGACCCTCACTGTTGAGTGATTAATAGCATTGGGGCAGTATCTCCAAGTTTGTACCAATTTTTCAAAATAGATGTGGTCTCTTTATACCTGTCTGTGCCCCATTTTGAAGCAGTTGTGCTTGCAAACACCTTGCTAATCAAGCATGATTGTTCTATACCACAGATACTGGAGTTGAGAGAAGCACTCTTATTAATCACTGAGAATAATTATTTCTATTTCAATGGTAACATGCATGTACTTACAAAAGCAATGAGCCTCTATGTGTTCACCTCCATGAGCTATTTTGGCAGAGATAGTCATGAGAACCATAGAATTCAAAACTTGTAGATCCTCTCTCACCATACATTATCATCCTCTATATTTGAGGTATATTGATGATATTCTACTGGCATGGGATGGCTATAACAGCTACTAGAATAAATAAAAGTATACTTGCTTACTGGAGACGAAATTCAATAAAATAAAATAAAAAGCCATTCAAAAATCCAGCATAATTCTTTAATAACATAAGAACATTTTCAAACGCATTAAGCATCCATCATCAGTTATTTCTCTAAAATCAAATTAGAAATTCGAAAAAATTACGCAAACAAATTTCAAATAAATGGATATATAATAAATATTAATAAGTAACACGTTATTAATAAAAGCGTGAACTATCAAGAGATAATTGTATTACATATCGGAGCCACTGCTAGAATACGTTGTCTCTGTCTTGTTATTGTTGTCTCTGTCTCTGTCGTCTCATAGTGATGATGTTTTATGTAGCAAATGTACAACAGAGCTAACTAAAAAGGTAATAGAGTGTAACTTTGAACCACTTTGGTTTCAAATGTCCCTTCTGAAATACTATGGGAATCAAAAAACATTATTCTTGTGGGAATCTATATCTCAACATGTCACCATGCAACTCTCTTACACTAGACATACCAGAGCTAGGGATCATGTGTTCTCTGTAAATCATGTAAAACTGTAAATTGTGTTCTCAATAAAACACCTCTGTTACTAGCACCCCCACACATTTATTATTTGTTTATTGTCCATTTAATTCTGTATTAATTATATACTTTATATTTCAATCCAATTTTATTTTATTGTTTTTCTTTTTTATATATCATTGTATTTTGAATTATGGTATAAATTTTTTAAATTGTATATATGTAATTTATATCCCATGCATGTGTGGGACAAGTAATTTGAAAAAACATTACAGTAGAACCTCGATTATCTGCTCTAATTGGGGACTGGGGTTGGTCGGATAACCGAAAAGTATGAAAAAATCCATTATTAGTGTAGTATATTATTATATCCCATGTAATTAGTATATTAGTATATCGCTATTAACCTATTTTGCGTTGAATTTTCATCAATGTTAAGCCTAACAAAAATTTTTTAAAATAATAATCGTCGCTATTGTATCGTTAAAAATTAGAAAATTAAGCTTCGTTTAAATACTGGCTCCCTTTCATGGTCGAATGAGTGTTGCCAGCTAAAACACGTAAAAATAATATTAAAGTAGCCAAGACATAGCCAAATATTGTAGCACCACATCACTAGCGGACATTTGAAATTTGCCGACTAGGACGGTCGGTTAACCGAGGGGTCAGTTGATCGGGGGTCGGATAATCGAGGTTCTACTGTAGTTCCTATTTGGATTATTTCAGTTGAATTTAAATGTTATGTTTTCTATAAACGATTTGCTTGAAGAGGACAGTTATATACTGTTGAAAGTACAGTACTTGCATAATAAATTATTTTTATGTAATGCCAACAGTTATTTCTGTACATTATTTATTTTTCTAATAGTATTTGGTGGATATGATTATTTAAATTTTATTGTTTTTGTGGAAACTGAAGAAGAATTTCTTTAAGTTGCTGAAATCTAGAGAACAGTGGCATAGACAATGAGCTCAACTATTGTTTCTCTTGCATTGTTGAAAGAGTGGAATTGTCCCCAAGTGTATTTTGCTAAAGTATGATTCCTTTCCGAGGTGTGATTGATCACTACTTCCCTACATAGAAAGAAAGCTCCTGGCAAGACTAATCAGAGACAAGCAAAAAATGATTACTCATTGTGAACAAAAAGTATATTTTGTACATGTAGCTTTTGTTAAAATCTGCAATCTAAAGATCTTTTATGAACAGCTTGATAAAGTTTGTTCCATTACCTACAACAGTGTGTTTCAAATGAAAATTAAGCTGGATAATAAGTTCCATTGGTTATTACAGAATACATGAGACAAATACAAATCTCTGGTCAATGTTGCCACACTACAATTATTCAGGTGAAGTAGCTCCAGAAACAATTTATTATTTACTGCACTGTGGCTCAAAGTTCATTCCAAAACCAAAGAAGGCTCTATTTATGTTAATTCCATCTGCCATTGCAGCAGTTGAAAATTGCCAGCAGAAGGATTTGTGCTCCCAACTGGAGATATCCATCTTTGCAAAGATAGCTGGTGCATAGTGTCCATACACTATTTCTCCATCTGGAAACTAGAAAAGGATTATCACTCAGTTCTTGAACATTTTGAATCCAAGACTTTTGGTACAAAGACAAGAAGTTTGTTCTGTGCAGAAACAATGACTTTTTGAGTAGGGCCAATGATTTCCTGCTACAGTCAGGATTCATGTTAATGAAAGAAGATCTAGCCCCTTCAGTATTGAGGAAAGTAAAGAATAATTTTGAATAACATTGATTCTGCCCGTTTTTTTTTTTATTCACCTGAAGAAGAACTAAGTTCAAAAATGTTGGTAAAGTTATATTGAACTAAGCACTGTTTTGGTTTCGAGTTAGAAGTGAGTTGTATATTTTACAGTGTGTCTAGAAGTGTTTATTTAAAGAATAATTGCTTAAAAATAAAAAGTTCCAACCTATTCCAGCAAAAATTTTTAATTTTCTAATGTTTTTGGCTATCTATGCAGCCATTATCAAGAACAAACATATTTTTGGGCAGACTATCTTCAATTTTATTAAAAAATAATCTCCATCGGACGAAAAATTTACAGATGAAAATCTACATGTATCGTCACCAGGGAGCAGCTTCCATTAAATCTACATATTCCAGCGCTTCTTTTTAGTAGATAAAAGCAATATCACCCCAAATGAAGGTATGATGGATGCAAGAAAGACGTCTGAATGTCACCAGTTCCTTTTTAGAAATTATTTGTAATTTTAATTGGATATATATTTCGTGTTTTTTAAAAGGACTTTTTAAACTTCTCGCAACAAGTAGCCTAAAAGGAAAGGTCTGTTGCCAAGAATGTGTATTGTCAGGAACATGGAAATAATAAATGGTGGTCCTTTTTGGGCAGACTATCTTCAATTTTATTAAAGGAATAGTTTTTAAAATTTAAATTGAACAGTGTTTCAAATATGAATCAGTGACATACAGTTGCAATAATATAAATAAATAATAATAATAAAGTATTCAAAAATATATAATACATAATAATATACCATAAAAAATATAAACAATAATAATAAACCCTAGATTTGTTGATTATTTAACAATAAATTACTGTATAGGTTTATCCTATTTGCAGTGTATAAGAAATTTCCATGCTGTTGATAAGCTTGCTGCATCCTCATGGTTAATACATGTGTTCTTAATAATATTTTTGTATATGGCTATTTTTTCTAGAGTTTTTCCAGAGTTTATTATTAAATAATAGTTGTTTGATAACAAAATAGATGATAAACAATAAGTAAATTTGAATTTAATTTATTAAATTGAATTCATCATTATGGAGTGTATCCAGTATGCTAGTTTATAGTATTCTGTTCAAGGAAGGCCATTAGAAATGATCAAAAATGTTCTAGTTAGTAAAATTTATGCTGTGTTTTAAGGTTGTTTGGGTGTTTTTGTTACTCTACACAGCAATTGTGAATCCATTGAAAATATTTTGATTAAATAGAATTAAATAGCTGAAGTCAAAGTTGTTAGTTATAAAAAACTCTCCACTATACCTTTAAAATGCAGTCTATTTTGCACACTTATCTAACATTTTCGTGTATACAGAATACCGTTGTATGATAAGAGGCTGAATAAGGAGATATATTATATAAGAGCCACTAAAAGATTGTTAAATGAAAGATTGAAGGAGCACGAAAAGAATGTAAGATTTAAACAACCACTCACGGCTTTGGCTAATTATGCGATCGCAGATCCAACAGAGATCAAAATCAATTGAAGCAAGGCAGATATCATACAAAAAGTGAAAAATAGAAGACATCTAAAGTATGCAGAAGCCTGGTACATTTACAAGTGCAAAGAAAAAGGGCAAAATATAAATTTCCGTGAATCAAACAAAGTAGCATCGGCATGGAAAGCGGCGACATTAAAATTATAATAATGAGCATGCACGATTGAGAAGATTATAGAACGTACATTTTGGAATTTCCATTTTGCAAATTTGAAATCTGATAGTTCAATCCTGAAGGTCTGTGAATCTGACCGAAAATGTTAGATAAGTGTGCAAAATAGACTGCATTTTAAAGGTATAGTGGAGTTTTTTAAATAGTAATGAAGTTAGAGATATAATAGTTGTTAGTTATTTTTGGTAAGTATAAGTAAATATTTTGCAATGCAAAATCCAGCTGTTGAAAACAAATATTCATAATTATTCACTGAATACAATCACTTCTAACTAAAACACAAAGATATACTCTAGTAATTTGTTATATATAATGTATTGAGTGGTTTCTGAACATTTTTGAGCTAATGAGTTGCATCAAAAATGTTCTTATATACAAACAAAAAGCAATGTTAAAGATTTGCACTTTTTAATATAAAAAAAATTAACAAATAATAGTAAAAAGTGGAGAAATATTAAGCTTTTTTAAATTATTTTTGAAATTTTATGGTACTTCATGAGAAGTTTGCGTCACGCTAGTTTGGAAAAACTGGTCAATGATGTGTGAATTGGTGTATTGAAAGTGTATGCACAATGGTTTTCAATATCAAAAACAATGAATTGCTAACATAGCAATTTTCTTGTCTTAGTGAAGATATTTTTTTTTTCAAAAAACATCAAATACTTTCACATTATTCTATCTTTAGATTTAAAAATCTACTTAAAAATTGAAATTGTAAAAAGTAGACAATTATAACACACCTTTTTTTGTTGCTGAGATAGTTTTATTTAAAACTATCTCAGCAACTATCTCACAACAAAAAAGTGTGTTATTGTTTGCTGAGCACATTCTGTTAAATGTTGTAAAAATTCCTTATGAAGTTGTAATTGTATTTAGACCTATATTTTTAATTATCTATTTAAAATTAAATATAACATAAATGTATAAAAATAAGTATAGTATCATTAAAAATTATATAGATGCTGAGGATGGTGATGATGATGATGTGTTTGAAGCATCAGCAGATACAGTGCCACTCTTAACAGCGCAGTCAAAGAGAAGAGCACAGTCACTTGGAGCAATGCCAAAAGAAGAACCAAAGAGTCCCAAAAAGGTATATATTTTTTATAATAATTATATTTATAATTTTGTTATTGTATATTCAAAGCACAATATTGTACTGAGACAGTTTCCTTTTAAACTACCTAGGACAATGTTTTATGCTGTAAAATGCTTGCATTTATTTTATATAATAAATTAATGAATTATTACATTATTGATAAAGTCTAATTTTTTAGAAATTAACTACAGTAGAACCTCAATTATCCGACCCCCGATCAACCGACCCCTCGGTTAACCGACCGTCCTAGTCGGCAAATTTCAAATGTCCGCTAGTGATGTGGTGCTACAATATTTGGCTATGTCTTGGCTACTTTAATATTATTTTTACGTGTTTTAGCTGGCAACACTCATTCGACCATGAAAGGGAGCCAGTATTTAAACGAAGCTTAATTTTCTAATTTTTAACGATACAATAGCGACGATTATTATTTTAAAAAATTTTTGTTAGGCTTAACATCGATGAAAATTCAACGC